CAGAAAGTAGCACAAACACAGCTAACCCAAAAGAGTAGTTTATCTCTCACAAAGTCATGCTTGATTTTTGATGAGTTATATGATTTTTCTCAGACCCAAATAGCCCTCTTCTCTCATTGCGACAACCCTTACTTCAGAGAAGCCATAGATAAGGCTGGGTGACTCATTTTCTTCCCATTTTTATGGATTTTTCAAGTTTTTATGCAGCGATCTAATGCTTGTTTTCAAAAGTAGACAAAAATCAAGTGCTTTTTCAAAAGAAATCTAACTTGTACAAAATTTAAATGTATATGATACATTGGTTGTAGGGGAGGGGATAGTTACCTACTTTACAAAATAATTCTTCACATTCCAGAAGAACTTGCTTCCATAAACACATCTTTTAAGAAGAAAATCTGTCTAGTTTTCAAAATGGTGGTTCACTGATGAACATTTGGCATCTAGGCTCAATGGGCATGGAAAGTATTGTTCTTATAAAAGTAAGCCACACCTTCAAAATGACTGTGTGGGGGCGCCTGAGTGTCTCAGTCGGTTACACGTCTGCCTTCAGCTCAGGTCATGATCCCAGGGTCCTGGGATCCAGCTCCGCATCAGGCTCCCTGCTCAGCAGGGAGTCTGCTTCTCCCTCTCCCATTGCCCCTCCCCCCCCAACCCGCTTATGCACGTGCATGCGCACTCTCTCTCTCACTCTTGCTCTTTCTATCTCAAATAAATGAATAAAATCTTTTAAAAGAAATGACTGTATGTTTCACAAACAATTCATGGGGGTGGGGGAACAGCCAAGAGATAACACTGGGCTTAGATGGTACTAAAAGTTTTCCACAAAAATAATCGGCCCAATGTAGAATATCATCAGGCCTTCCCTTATTTGGTAACCATCTTAGGCAACACCCTTGCTGTGGACAGAGGGTATGGAGGCCTTAAAAGATTAAGGTCTTACTCCCAGAAAAATGCAGAATCTAAGGGAAAAATGGAAATGGGTGCTAAATGGGTCAATAAAGCCCCCAGTCAGTGACCCCCATGGGAGCCCAGGACCAGAGCACTGGCAAGGTGGGAGGGGAGCCTGTATGCCCCCTACCCCTCCCCTGCCCCTACCAGCATCCAGCTAGGGGCCCGTTTTGCCATGTCCATCTCTGTCTCAATGGAGTAAGTACTCAATTCTCAGTGAAGGACATATTGGAACTGACAGCTTCACCATTGTGTATATAATATGTCATGGCTGACAGATGAAGAAGTGGGATTCTGTGAAATGCAGCAGGATGTAGCCATCAGCCAAGGCTGGAGAAAAGCCGTGTTCTCCTGGACCCCTTAGAGAGTACTCCTTCTTAGTCCCCCTTGCCCCTTCTCCGCAGCCCATCTCAGTGCGGGGCTTAAAGCACCATTTCCCCCTATTAGTCCTGATCCTTTGTTGTGCTTCCCTTTTGTCCACGCTGCCCTTTGATTGCAGAGCTCTCCCAGCAGGGCAAATTGCAGCTGAAATGGTAGAAACAATGAGATCAGGCAGTGTCCAGATGGAGGCACCCGGAACCAGGCTCACTTAACTGCATGACTTTGAGCTGGGCTGCCCTGGGTGTAAGTGAGCAGGCCCCACCTTTCAACTATCACAGTGAAATCCACCCCCCTGACAGTCACGTGGCCTTTCCCAAAGGCAGAGTTAATTGGAAAGTGAAAGAATTAACAGGAGATGAGGGAGAACTAACAATAAAAATTGCATTGAAGAGGAGTTACCTTGCAAGTGCCTTTAGTCCTTCAGTATTGGGGAAGGATTTTTTTTGTTCATTACCTAATGCATTTGAGTGCTCCAGTTTCCTTATGAGCCATTATCAAATGAATGATTGGCAGCTTGTTATCTTCTGTGTGCAGCCACGTATTTTGTCGTGGTAATAGGCTTCTCAAACATGATTTTGTTTATTCACTCAGCAAACATTTATTGGGAACTTTCTGGGTGGTTTGCTTTGTCGTGGGCACAGGGGATAAGAAGATAAATGAGTCTGTGACCTCAAAGTACTTACAGTCTAGGAGAGGGAGATAGAAAAGTACACAAATAAATGGCATAGAGCATTAGGAGGATTGTGATGGATGTCTTTATGAGAGACAATGGTACATGCAGAAGGAATGACATAAGAAAATAGGCTGGAGGATGTTGTAATGTACAGGTCATTAATCTCACTATTGACCAAATGAAATACCCATCACAAAATGTGTGTTCCTTAATTCATTCAATAAACATTTGTTGAGGGCCTACTATTTGCCAGGCACTGTGCTTGGTACTTCTGTGATGTGTGTACAGGCTAGAAAGGGAAACCGGCATTAATTCAATTAATGCACAAATCAAATATAAAATTAAAACTAAGATAAAAGTCCAACAAAGACGACCTACAGGGTTTCATGAAAACTTCTAATAGGAGTATTTCTGTAAGGCAGGGGGCCTCCCTACGATCGAGCTGAGAGTTGAACATAGAGAGTTAATTAAGGATTCTGCTAGGCACCAAGAACAAGAAGATGGAGCAATAGAAACAAACAAACAAACAAAAAACTGGTGAGAATCAGGGACCAAGAATTCCAGGTTCACTATGAAGCCCCTGTGTGGACTTCTGTGACCAGATCTAGAAAAGGGGGGGAGGTGGAAGGAGTAGGGGAGACAGGGTAACTATAAGTCCTGCTTTGCTGGGGTCCAAAAGAGTAACTCAGATTTTTTGTCCCATGGCAATGTTTAATAAGTGCCACCACTAACTCTCAAAAATGTTCTAGTATGAGTTATCAATTATACTGTTGCCCTAAAGAGTAGGACATTTTGTTTCTAAGCCCTTTTGTAGACTTGTCATCCTGTGAGTATATACCCAGTGCCAACTAAAATCTAAAGCACAAATGACAAATCGGCAAAGTCCTGATTCATAAAAGGTAAATGGCATTTAATAGTTTATGCCATGGATAAGATTTCTGTTTTCAGTTTTTTGTTTTTTGTTTTTGAAAGTGGGACAGCAACCTATGTGCCCAGCAGTTATTCCTAGCAAAGTCAAGTGACAGGATTAGTTCTCTAGATGTTAATGATGGTGGTGTCCACTAACCATTGCAAGAGGAAGAAGAAAGGAAATACATTTTTTGTCTTAATTTTCTCCTGGGCTTAGCTTGGGGGAGATTCTCTCAAGATACTTAACAAACAGAATCCAATACCAGAAGTATAAACAAGATTTCTCAAAATCAGAGAGGCAGAAAATAAACCTAGGGATTCCAGAAATTAGCGTGAAGGAAACCCTACTTGCTTTACTACATTGAATTTTACCCATAATGCTTTCTGACATCTATGTTTTGATTCTTAACAGGGACTATGAAAAATGTTTTCTAATGAAGTATAAATGCTAGAGCATCAATGGCAAACAGATCGGTAGAGATAGATGATAGATACATGGATAGATACATAGATAAAGACAGATACATGTTACAGGCTAAAACTTCCTAAATCCACTAAGCCAATCATCATTTACTTCTCAGTGGAGATATTACCCAAAACTTTCTTCAGTTTACTAGTATTTTCCCTTCTTTAACAAATCTTAGGATAATGCATCCTGTACATTTACTACTTGTGTGTATAAGACAGGACTTACAATAAACTTTGAGGAATGCTTCTTTGTACTGGTAGCGTGGCTTAAAATCTATTGGAAATAACGTTAGCATTTTTACATTAAAAAGTTTTATGTCTCGGGGCACCTGGATGGCTCAGTCGATTAAGGGTCTGACTCTTGGTCATGGTCTCAGGTCATGGTCTCAGAGTTATGGGATTTGAGCCCTATATCTGGTCCGTGCTCAGCACAGAAGTCTACTTGAGTTTCTCTCTCCATCTCCCTCTGCTCCTCCCACTCATGCTCTCTCTCTTTCTCTAAAACGAATAAATAAATCTTTAAAAAAAAAAGCTTTAATGTCTCAAAATGATGTGTTCACTATCTACCACCTTAGTGATTTTGTAGATACTAGTTATGTTGGGCCTCTAGCACAGTTTCTGCTTTTCCCAACTGTGGAGTCGGTCCTAAGGAAGGTGCCAGAGTCTGGAGACTTTCCTTTAGAAGTCATGTAGGGAAAGCACAGCTGACAAAGTTCGAAGGAGTGATCTTGAATGACCGTGCTTTTTTTTTTTTTTTTTTTTGGCACGTTCGTCCAGGAGACTCAAGGTTCCTTTTGAGACTGTCCAAGAGTTTCCTCAAGATTGCTGTCAGTGCTCAACCCGGGCTTCAGGATGCCTCAGAGGGTTACCTCCCAAACACTGCACCACTCCTAGGGTCAAAAGGATTGAAGGTCTTTTGCGCTTCTTTCCTGCTTCATTTCTTCTTCTCTGTGTCCTTAACCAGCCCTTGGCCCCACACATTCTTCAGACTTCCCCCCCAGTCCTGCAGCTCGTGCTGTTTTCCCTTGTAGCAGTGGTTCTCAGGGAGCTACTTGTTGGAGCACAAGAGATGCTGAACTCCAGGGTAAAGTGCAAACAGAAATGAACTTGCATAGGAGGAAGCAAGGGAAGTACGTGAGTTGGATGGGAAGTGGGGACGGAAATCAGAGGCAGCTTGAGTCAGGCAAAGGGGCCAGGGAGTTGGGAAGGTCACAGTCTCTCCTGGACTCTGCCACCATGGGTAGGACTCTCCATTATACAGATTTCGGCTCTTCCATGTGTACGGTCTGGCACTGGCCTAAGTGACGTGCGGGGCCTGTTCTCTCACTAAACAGTTCTTATTCCGAGATTGCATTCAACCAAGATGGGTAAAAGTTCCTGTTGTTGGGGGGGCAAGGAGGAGTGAAGACAGCAACTAAAGCATCCTTATTAATGTTCCAAATCATTGCACCGTATTTTTACTTCTGCAAATGAGAAAACCTCCTAAAGCATTCTGGAATTAAAGGTGGCTGTTCCCAACTTTCAAATAAATAAGGCTTTTGACATTGAATTTTAAGTAGCTCTAACATGTTCATCTTTGTTTCTCTCTCTCTCTCTCTCCTTCTCCACCCCTCTACCTTAGGCTTACGAGCGGCCACAGAAACACTCAAATCTCCACTATGACCCAGGCCTCCCACAGGACGTCACCAGTGACACCTTAAAACCAAAGCACCAGCAAAAAAGCAGCAGCCAGAACCACATGGACTGGTCCACCAACTCTGACAGTGGACCTGCCACTCAGAATTGCTTCATCAGTCCAGAGTCTGGCAGAGAAACTGCAAGCACCAGCAAGATCCCCGCTCTTGAGCCCGTGGCTTCCTTTGCAAAGGCCCAGGGTAAGAAAGGCAGTGCAGGGAGCACGTGGAGTCAGCTGTCCAACAGCAAAGATCTGCTCTTGGGAGGTGTGGTCCCATCCCCAGGCAGCCACAGCTCCCCAGCCCCACCCAGCAGCTCTGTCGAGTGCAACGGACTTCAGCCCTTGGTAGATCAAGATGGAGGAGTTGCAAAGGAGCCCCCAGAACCACCTACCATAGGCAGCAAGAAAAAGTCCAGTAAAAAAGATGTGATAAGTCAAACCATAGCAAACCCAGACCTGGACTGGGTCAAGAATGCCCAGAAAGCATTTGACAATACAGAAGGGAAAAGGGAAGGCTACCCTGCAGATAATGCCCAAGAGGCATCACCAGCCAGGCAGAATTCGAGTTCTGTCAGTAATCCTGAAAATGACTCAAGTCATGTCCGGATTACTATCCCTATCAAGGCACCCTGTCTAGATCCAACCAGCCATAAGAGGAAAAAGAGACAGTCCATCAAAGCAGTGGTAGAAAAGATCATGCCAGAGAAAGCCCTGGCTTCTGGAATCACTATGAGCAGTGAAGTGGTTAACAGGATACTTTCCAACACTGAGGGAAATAAGAAAGATCCCCGGGTCCCTAAGTTGAGTAAAATGATAGAGAACGAGTCCCCCTCAGTTGGCCTTGAAACAGGTGGAAATGCCGAGAAAGTCGTGCCAGGAGGCGTGTCTAAGCAGCGGAAGCCACCCATGATCATGACGCCTCCAACATGCACGGACCACTCTCCATCGAGGAAGTTGCCAGAAATCCAGCATCCCAAATTTGCTGCGAAACGGAGGTGGACGTGCAGCAAACCAAAGCCCACCAGTATGCTTCGGGAGGCAGTCCTGGCCACCTCCGATAAACTGATGGTGGAACCGCCGTCTGCCTACCCCATCACCCCATCCAGCCCTCTGTACACCAACACAGACAGTCTTACTGTGATTACGCCCGTCAAGAAGAAGCGGGGGCGGCCGAAGAAGCAGCCTTTGCTCACGGTGGAGACGATTCACGAGGGGACTTCCACCAGCCCGGTCAGTCCCATCAGCCGGGAGTTCCCTGGCACGAAGAAAAGAAAGAGACGACGCAGTTTAGCTAAGTTGGCCCAGCTGGTGCCAGGACAGGACAAGCCCATGAGCGAGATGAAGTTTCACAAAAAAGTTGGAAAGCTTGGGGTGTTGGATAAGAAGACCATCAAAACCATCAATAAGATGAAAACACTCAAGAGGAAAAATATCTTGAACCAGATCTTGTCCTGCTCCAGCAACATTGCTCTGAAGGCGAAAGCTCCCCCGGAGACCAGCCCCGGGGCAGCGGCAATTGAGAGCAAATTGGGCAAGCAGATCAACGTCAGCAAGAGGGGAACCATCTACATCGGCAAGAAGAGGGGCAGGAAGCCAAGAGCGGAGCTGCCACCCCCATCCGAGGAACCCAAAACAGCCATCAAGCACCCAAGGCCTGCTTCTAGCCAGCCGGACGTTCCAGCCGTGCCTTCCAACTTTCAGTCCCTTGTGGCATCTTCACCAGCAGCTATGCACCCACTTTCAGCGCCGCTAGGTGGGTCAAATGGCAACCTGAGCCCTGCCAGCACTGAAACCAATTTTTCAGAGTCGAAAACTATGCCAAATCTCCAGCCCATCAGTGCTCTTCCAACCAAAACCCAGAAGGGAATCCACAGTGGAGCCTGGAAGCTGTCCCCACCCAGGCTGATGGCCAACTCGCCTTCCCACCTTTGCGAGATCGGGTCACTCAAGGAAATCACGCTGTCCCCTGTGAGTGAGTCGCACAGCGAGGAGACGATCCCAAGCGACAGTGGCATTGGGACGGACAACAACAGCACGTCTGACCAAGCGGAGAAGGGTTCAGAATCCCGACGGAGGTACTCTTTCGATTTCTGCTCCCTGGACAACCCGGAGACCATTCCGTCCGACACCAGCACAAAGACCCGGCATGGCCACCGGCAGAAGCATCTCATGGTGGACAACTTTCTGGCCCACGAAAGCCTCAAGAAGCCAAAGCACAAGAGGAAACGGAAAAGCCTGCAGAATCGTGATGACCTTCAGTTTCTGGCAGACCTGGAAGAGCTCATCACCAAGTTCCAGGTGTTCAGGATCTCCCACCGGAGTTACACCTTCTACCACGAGAATCCGTATCCCAGCATTTTTCGGATTAATTTTGATCACTACTACCCGGTGCCATATATCCAGTATGACCCGTTGCTCTATCTTCGCAGGACTTCAGACCTGAAGTCAAAGAAGAAGCGTGGTAGGCCTGCAAAAACCAATGACACCATGACAAAGGTGCCTTTTTTACAAGGGTTCAGCTACCCTATTCCCAGTGGAAGTTACTATGCACCCTATGGAATGCCTTACACATCAATGCCTATGATGAACCTTGGTTATTACAGTCAGTACCCAGCTCCCTTGTACCTATCACACACGCTCGGAGCCGCTGCCCCGTTCATGAGGCCGACAGTGCCACCTCCTCAGTTCCACACGAGCTCCCACATGAAGATGTCGGGGACAGCGAAGCATAAAGCAAAGCATGGAGTCCACCTGCAGGGACCTGTCGGCATGGGCCTCGGTGACATGCAGCCGGCCCTGAATCCTCCCAAGGCGGGTGGCGCCGGTCTGGCCAGCGGTCGGCTCCACAAGAGAAAACACAAACACAAGCATAAGCACAAGGAAGACCGGATCCTGGGGACCCATGACAACCTGAGTGGTCTCTTCGCAGGCAAAGCCACGGGCTTCTCCAGCCACATCCTGAGCGAGCGGCTGGGTGGTGCAGACAAGGAGCTCCCGTTAGTGAGTGAGAAGAATAAGCATAAAGAGAAGCAGAAGCACCAGCAGAGTGAAGCCGGCCACAAAGCTTCCAAGAACAACTTCGAGGTGGACACCCTGTCTACACTGTCACTTTCTGATGCCCAGCATTGGACCCAGGCCAAGGACAAAGGTGACTTGAGCGGCGAGCCTGCGGACACGTGCCCAAAAAGGTATTCCGGCAGCGGCGGCGACAGTGGCAGCACCAGACCCGAGAGCCTGGACGTGTTCAGTGACATGAACCCTTCGAATGACAAGTGGGACAGTGACATGAGCGGGAGTAAAAGGAGGAGCTACGAAGGCTTTGGGACATACAGGGAAAAGGACCTCCAAGCCTTCAAGATGAATCGCAAGGAGAGAAGCTCCTACGACTCCTCCCTGTCTCCAGGTAAGGCCGCGTTGCTCTTCAGACGGGCTGTCTTATTATTTAATTGCTGGCCTTTGCTCTTAAGGAGGCTGCCATCCTCGGCACATTGCAGTCACCGGTTTGCAGAGAGGTAGGAACTAAATGAAAACGGACGTTCTTGCACATTTGATACACTTTTTTTATTTGGCATTTGCTGTCTTTCCTCTCTCAGAGTCATGTCTGGGAACCGTGGGCCCAGAGACACCCCCAGTAGCTACCTAGAGTCCAACCACACCCATTGCATTTATGCTTTTTATTCAAGATGCTGTTCTTAGGTCCTCATCCGATCTGATGGCGCAGTTTGCTATTTGGATGAAACCTCTGAAACTCACTAAAAAAATGCCAGGATCCCAAGGATGTCAAAGCTGAATGGGAGTGATATCTCATTTATCTGGCAGGTCGCCTCTAGAAGTCACACATTCTAGGTGAGAAGTCTACAGCAGAGCCACTGGAAGCTCCTGACCAATGAATCCTCCAGTGTAGCTAATGAGGGAGCCATCGCCCCAGGCTCTGTTGTCCTCTCTTTGTCCATGGACATTTGCATGGACCCCCAAAGTGAAGCCCTAGCTCATCATTTTCCTGCAGGAAGGGGAGGGAGCCTGGCCGAAGGGTGTTGCAAGCCTCCTGCCCCCACGGGACCTTACTGCTGTGTCTCTTGGCGTGTCCGCAGGGAATGAGATTTTTCCCACTAATCTCTAGACTTGAAGTACTGGTTGTTACTAGAAAGAGCTCACCCTTTGTCAGCTGCTGGCAGAATTTCCTTCCTAACTTTCCCACCCACACAGGCCTTCCTTGCCACTGAAGCTTGACACTTCTGCCTAAGTATCCCTTTGTCCCTGTCCACACATCGAATAAGTGTTAAGAATCTTAGAGAACAGAACAGTTGTTCATGAGGGAAAGAGTAGAAGCTCCTTTCCTAGGAGCTGCAGAAGCTAAAAGGATTCTCGTGGTCCCCCTACCCACGGATAATACAAAGCACTCTGGCCATAGCCTGGTTCTAAAAGATGAGTCGTCCCTGGTTCAGGCTTGGGTGTAGTATCTCTCCTCTGTTTATGATGTGTACCTCTTGCTCGCTGTCTTCCTTCCCGGGGAGTCCATCATTAGTGAGGGTGAGGGCAGTCTATTCAAGAGGAATTAGAGTCATTTTTCTAGGTCGGCAGACTTCAGAAGAAATATGATTATGAGTTAGAAAGCACTTAAGGATTGCCCCAAATTGCCACTAGCTTGTGAGTTGCTATAGTGGTAGATGCTCTCCTTGGTTAATGAAGAGACCAATTAGCAGTCATGTTTCCTGCTGAAGGTGATAAATGTCCCACACTTCATGTTTGCCCAAAGAGGGTGTTCTCATCTGGGTTTCCCTGTTTCTCATCATCAGACTTTGTGGAAGGGGACTTGTTTTTTATGCAAAGCCCAAATTAAGCCCACCTGGGCAGGAATGGCTAGATTAAACTTTTTCGTGAGAAAAACTGTTGCTTTCTCGTCCTGTATAGTGAAATTGAACCACAGGTCCAAAACCAGCCATAGACAGAGGGTCTTCTTAATTTTTGTATTTTCTTGGCACTATTTAGCAAAAAAGTAATGGTGGCGTGTTACTGCTAAGAACCTACAAGCAAGTATCCTAACTTAATAGACCTGAGACACAAGATCTCAGAAGCTGAAACCTCTATCCATTGTTGCTCAGTAGGTTTCTCAGCAGTCTTACCAAGATTTTCTGTGGTTGGACTGGATTGCTGGGTGTTGGTCAACTCCACGAGAGTTCCCAGCTAGAGATCCTTCTCTGATTCCTGTGCGTGTCTCTAAAGGTGCCCACCTCTAGCGTATAGCTCTCTCGGGGTTGGCACTCAATGTAGTGGCCGTTGCTTTCTTCAAAATTCCCCTTCTTCTTCCCATCTTCTCATCCGTTCTTCATCTGGCCACATCAGATGGAAAGAAACAGGCATCGTGACAGTGTCCTAAAAGAAAGCTGGATTCAACCTAAAAATTGGGTACGAGGCCCAACTCTGTTATGTGGGCCCTAAGGCATGGCATTCTGTTTTTTTGGGGTACTGTCTACCAGCTGTAACTGACAGGATTGGGCCAGACCTCTTTCATATAGTATGTTTCAGTTCTTAAAACCATTTCACATACATTTCTTCATAACACTCACCCTACAATCTTAGAAGAGAGGTATTTTCATTCCTATTTTACAAATCAGGATACTGAGGCTCAGAGATCAAGTGACCTGCCCAGGTTTAGAATCATGGTTAGAATTATGATTGTAATAAGCCCAGGGCTTTGGCCACAGCACTGCAGTTGACCGCATGCCACCCAAGAGCTAAGCCAAATCTAGAACACACAAGTCCTGGTCCTCAGCTCAGTGCTCGTATATTCCACCGTAGCCCTTCCTCTCAGATACCCAACCATTCTTCAGTTACATGCCTTCCCTAAGGCATCTGCACAGTGATGATGTGATGATTGCAGAGAGAGTAATTAAGGAAAGATGACATCCCTTTATTCAATTCCCAACCAGTGTAAAAGGACCCCTTAGGGCCCAACCTTTTCTAGCCATCCCCTTGGAAGCATCGACATGGACAGGCTTCCCTCTGTGTTCTTACTGCAGTGCACTTCTTGGAGTTATTTTCACCACTGCTTTGTGCCTATCTCTGTGTTATAGGAGTTTATTTTTTCTTCAACATTTTAGTGAATCATAATCGTTGGTGGTTTCTATGTCTATATGACTTACGTCAGTTGTCCCTGCACATCTTGTTGAATATCTTACTGGAGCAGATCAGATTCTCGATCATTCTCCTCCCTTCCAAGCTTTGGCCTCTCCTCACCTCTATTCTAAATGTTCCCTCTATTTCTGAACCCCCAAAGCATCAGGGAAAATAACATGTCTTTAGCAACACTTAGGATTCAATGTCAGAGTTTGTCAAGTCTCCCTGAAGAGAGCTCACCTTAATGTGATACACTCCAAAGGGAAGCAAATCCCATTCAAAGGTGGGAGGCAGGTGGAGTGAAGCTGAGGTTATGAGAAATCTTCCAGAGACATTACCTGAGTCGAGGTGTCTCTTCCATGAATGATACTGAGGGTTCTGCTTGAAAACAAAGGCATCAGTATTTCTCACAGCTTCTCTCCCTCCACCTCTTCCTTCTCCACTCTGGATTCACTCCCTTAGCATCCCAATGTCCTATTTCACATGAGCTAGTCTTCTCCGAAATAGAGCATATATAGTGATGTCATCCTTTAGCCCATTGAGGACCAGATTTAGGAGCTAAGTCAAGGGAGGACTCTGAGCATTCCCGGAGATCAGAGCTGACGGAAGACACCCTGTCAATGGAAGTCATTACCATTATGGAGACAGAAATTAGAGACTTCACTTAGCTGCACACTCCATTTCCTCTTTCCTGCTTGGAAAAGCATCCATTCTCCAACCCCCAGCCCCTCAGATGGATGCACTGACTTGTTAGTCCCCTTACAACACACCTAGAGCTCAGAAGTCACAAAGACTCTACCATTTTTCTGCGTTTTACTCCTTCTGCTTTTTTTTTTTTTTTTAAAGATTTTATTTATTTACTTGAGACAGAGAGAATGAGAGAGAGAGAGCACATGAGAGGGAGGAGGGTCAGAAGGAGAAGCAGACTCCATGCTGAGCAGGGAGCCCGATGCGGGACTCGATCCAGGGACTCCAGGATCATGACCTGAGCCGAAGGCAGTCGCTTAACCAACTGAGCCACCCAGGCGCCCTCCTTCTGCTTTGTTTCAGAAGGTAGTGGCTCTTCTGACCCGTTTTCTAAATGGATACCATCTGCTAAATCTCCATTTATAAAAATGCTTGCCTGGGACCAAATAATGGATAAGTAGTGGGAAGGTACCATCCACAGACTCCCAACGTTGGAAGAAGCCAAATGGGCCCTCATGTGTGCCTCTCTCCCACAAGGCATCACCATCTCTCATAGACTGACATGCTGCAGATTTCCCAAAGAGCAAACCTATCCCAAGTTTGACAACACATAGTCAGAGTGATGCCACGTGCTCTCAAAGCCAACTTCTTCTTAGCTGGTGGAAGGGGTCTCTAGTGTGAGTGATGTTCTTCCTGTTCAGACCACAGAATAATTTTTGCATACTTTGATCTAATATTTAGACATCTTAACCACTGCTGTCCAGGCTCCCATCAGATGTTGGAGAAACAGTGAAAAGCATCAATTTACCTATGTTACCTCTCAGTCCAATGCCATTATTAGTCAAGGTAGCCATCCTGAGTCCCCAGATGTCAAGTACTTTCCTCATGATGAATGGATGCTGAGAATGAATCCTTAGCTCACCTCTCAGATATCAGAATCCTGCCATGTAGGTAGCTGGAGTCCCTTGAGCCTGGAAGACTCCACCTCTCCTTGTGGCTTCTGTCTTGCCCTTTGCCAGCTCCTCTTATCAGCACCATGGGGCATTTTGGGAGGCAGTCTCTGTTGTCACTCATAGGCAGGAAATGGATCCCCACGCCAAAAATAATACAAAACCCTCCTCCAAGCAGGCATCCAGTTGAGGGAATTAACCACATAGATGAGATGACATGAAAACTATACAAAAGAACCATATGTGGGGAACATTTTCTACAAATGGAATAGAAGGAAGAAGAAGACTCATGGGAGGAGAAAGTTAAGGCCAGGAAAAAAGAAAGAGTGAAAAATAAAAAGCTGATGAAGTGTAGTCTGTTTAATCTTAATCCAAGTTGAATTCCGGGTCATCCTGTGGGAGGAAATGAAAGATAAATTAGCTAATGGCCGCTGTGTGGTTTAACAGGATTATGAGCACCTGGCCCAGTCTTGTCTCCTACGCTAACCAGCTGAAAGACCTCTTCATCTTTTTCACTCTCTGTTTTCCCAGGTGAGCCTATGGTAAGAAGAGCTCTGACCAGAGCTGACAGTCTCAGATTCTAAAAGTCTCAAATTTATACGATGCCATTTTTAAATGCAAACACATCCGTCCATGCGCGTGCACACAT